GCTTCTGACCGCTGATTGGTTCTCTTCCGCAGGTTTCTTACGTTTTGGGACTTTTAACTGTCGTTTGGTTGAGAAACTGATTCCAAGAATAAACTATTTTTGTATCTCTCGCGCTTTGCATTCTTCTCCTTCTTCTTCTTCGCGCTCCTGTGGCGCCATCTCTCGCCGCGCTGTCGCCACTCCCCCTCAGACTCCCCTTTTGTGCTATTGTTGGGTCTTTCAGGGCGTGTCTTCACAACAATGTCCACCAAAGCAGTTCTCGCGTTCGCCGCCGTGTTGTCCGCCGCGTGTGTGGCGGCCGCGCAGTCGCAGGAGAGGCCGGCCACCAATGAGCCGCAGTTCGTGTCGCGCGGAGTCAGTGTTTATTGTGTTCGCATTCTTCGCACTCTTGTCTAACTCTTGTTCTTTAGGGAAAGCGCGTCGTGAAAGAGGGCGAAGACATCGACCTTGACTGCGAAGTCCACGACCTGGGTTTGCGTCTCCATTCACGCGTCACGTGTCACTGACACCCCTGTCTCCCCCTTTAGGCGAATTCGTGATTCTCTGGAAGTTCAACAAAACGCAAGTTCTGTTCGCCGGAAACCTTCGTATCCATAGAGACGACCGCATCTCGCGCGACGACCAGAAGGGCTCTCTGCGCGTCAAGCAGTTCCGGCCGGAGAACGCCGGCGAATACTCGTGAGTCTCAGTGTTCCCTTTGCACACAATCGCTAATCACGTGATCAGTTGTCAGATCTCGACGAATCCCCCGAAAGACATTGTCTACAACGTCGCCGTCATTGGTCAGTGTTTCCTCCAATCGCTGTCACTTTCTAATTGTTTGAAACGCAGGTCCGCCGCAGATCCGCGCCTTCCCTTCACAACCGCTGATTGCGGTCCAGAAGAACGACTCCTTCGCTTTGAGGTGCGACGCCGCGGACGTGCAGCGCGTGGAGTGGCGCCGAACCAAAGTAAGCGCAATTGCAACCACCCTTCCCCTCATTCTAATGCCGTTCCCACAGGAGGACCGCGTTCTGGCCGTCGGCCACGAGTTCGTGCGCGAGAGGGCGCTGCCCGCGGACACAGACGTCTACGAATGTGAGTGTCATTGTTGTCGCGCGCGTTGTTCACTGAAACTCTCTCCCATAGGCTCAGCCGTGAACGCGATCGGCCAATCGTCGCACGCCTTCAAAGTTCAAGTTTTACGTGAGTTTCGAACAAAAGAGATTCAGTTTTGATTGCATTTTGGTTCCAGACGAACCGGAAGTGCGCGCCGTCGCGGCCCGCGTGCACGCGCCCATTGGCCAGAGGGCGCACATCACGTGTTCCATCAGTTCGGAGCCTTCGGTGAGCGCTGTGTGTGACGTCATCCGAACTAATCCCTCCCTCTCTAGGCGTCGGTGTTTTGGAAGAAAGGAAACGAGAAATTGAATTCGAATTCTGACTATCGGTTCGAAACGCGCAACAATGCGACCATTTTATTCATAAAAAGCGTGTCGCGCGAGCACTACGACAACTACACGTGTTTCGCCAACAACTCGTTGGGCGCCGCGTCCGCCGTCGTCGACGTCTCGGGCCGTCCGTCCGCCCCCCGCTTCACCAGCGCTGCCGTGGGCGGCGCCCACACCAGGTAGGGGCGCTTCCCTCTGCTTCCAGCGCTCACATTCTGTCCTCTCCCTTAGATATCTTCTGGAATGGAGTCTCGAGTCTCAATCGCCGATCTCTTCCTACGATCTCACGTTCAGACGGGTATTATATAAGCAGTCACGTGACACCCGCTAACACACTATCACTTGCAGGTGGACGTGGCGGACGTGTGGCGCACCATCCAAGTGCAGCCCAGCGCGCAGACGACGACTGACGGCGTCGTGGAGCGGAAGGAGACGTATTTGCTGGAGAACCTGACGCAAGACGGCAACTATGAGGTGACGCTCGCGGCCCACAACGAGTTCGGCGCCACGACGTCGCACGTGTTCGCGTTCGTCACGTCGGCGGCTGCGCAGCACTCATCACTCTTCATCGCTTTCATCGCAATTGTCATTTGGTGTGCCTTTCATTAAAGTTCGCTTTTATTACGCCAACGAAGAGCCAGAAATTACGTCGAAGATCTGCACCGACGTCCGCTTGTCGTCGCCGCGCAGGTCGAGCTCGCGCTTGAAGCTCTCGAAACTGGTGCGCAGCGACACGTGGTATTCCTTCTGGTCCTCTTTGATCAGCCGCTCGTTCACGCGCAGCGCCTTCTCGCACAAGTCCTGGAAGCGCGCGAACACCGCCCGCAACCGCGTCTCCGCCTCAGTGGCCACTTCCGGTTCGGCCGTGAGGAAGGCCTTGGCGTAGGCGATGGGCCCGCAGTTGACGGTCACGTGGACGGAGCCCTGCAGCACGAGTTGCAGGTGTTTGACGTCGTTGGCAGCACTGGTCACGCGCTCCAACGCCTTCACGCGCGCTTCCATCTCGTCGATCGCGACCTCTATCGGCGTCAACACAGTTTCCTTCCTCTCAATGACGGGAATGCGTTTCAAACAGAAGGGGAACCAATTGGAGGTCTGCAACTCCACGCGCCGTTTGTATTGTTGGGCGACGCGTGACGCGCTGTCGTCGTCGTTCTCGCGCCGAATGCGTTGTTCGAATTGGAAGCGATTGACGTTCACGTGACGCTCGAAGTCGTTGCGCGCGTGCGTCGCGAACGGAGTGACGTGCGTGACGACGATGGCCGAGTCGGTGACGCAATCGGAGTCGCAGTCGGAGACGATGGTGGCGCCAGGGTGGAGTTGTTGCAACTTTTGCGTCATTTCCGCCAAAGACATCACTTTCGCCTCTCTGTACACGTACTCCTGGTTCTGCGCGCCGAAGTGCGCCACTCTGTGGGGAGAGGGGGAGTTAGGGGGGGAAACACAACACGTGACTACTGACCGGAAGTACGTGTCGAAGAGGCGTCGGCCGGACGCGTCGGCTTCTGCGGCGCGCGCGTGCATTCTTGCGATGCGCTGAAAGAGCGCGGAGAGTTTCCTGTGGTTTTGAAGCGCTTCGAAGCGCGCGATCATCACTTTGAGCACATGTGGCGCCAATTCGAAGAGTTGGCATTTCTCCAAACTGCCAAACAGAGGTCAGAGGTCAGAGAGAGAGAGAGAGAGAGACAGTGAGACTGACCTGTCGGCGCAGTCGTCGATCAGAGTTTCCAGCGCTTCGGGCGTCACGTGACTCGAGTCCTCCGTCTCCAGCCAATCGTCGCTCTCGATCCGCGTGTCGTCACGTGACACGTTGGGAGAGACACGTGACACGTGTTGGCGCGCGTCGTCGATGTGGAGGCCGCGCGCGCGCAACTGCTCGACGACGATGGCGATGACGTGCACGAGACACATGGCGTACTCTGGCCAGTCGCCGTGGCGCGCGTGCACTTCGGCCAGGTTCTCGATCCACGTCCTCCGCAACGACCACGACGTCTGCGCGTACGAGTTGGCCAGAAAGAGCCGCAGCTCGCAGTTCTCGTACGGATTCCGCGATTCCGTCTGCAAAGAACAACGCATGACGTCATCTAAACACGTGACCGAGAGCTCGAACCCGAATGCGGTGCGTGGCCTTCAAGATGTCGCGCATGCGCACCACCGTCTGCGTGAGTCGGGAGTCGCGCGCGAACTCGTCGTCGTGTTCGGCCAACAATTGGATGCGCGCGAGCGACGCCTGGAATCGCGTCAAGTCCTTGGCGTGGTTGGAGGCGAGGCGCGAGACGCAAACAATGGTCTCGAAGCGCGTTCTCTTGAAGTTCTCCACAAACAGTTTGAACTGCGAGAAAGAGTTAATAACAATTAAAACAATGAAACAAACTCACGAGAAGGTCGACGCCAGAGTCGCGGATGGGTTTGAGCGCGCAGTCGCAGAACTCGACGATCTTCGCGACCAATTGCGAGAAGAGCGCGTGAAATGCGAACAACTGTTGGGAAAAGTCGTGCGCGAAGAGCGCGATGTTCTCGAACGCGAGCACAACAATGGCTTCGCTCTGCGACTCGTGAAGGAGCGCGAGAAACAGTTTGACGACAGTTCTGATGACGTCATCGTCGTGGGGTTGGCTGAGGAGCGCGAGACGCGACGTTCGCAACGCAATGACCGCCGTTTCGACCGAAAGGTTCTGTTGGGAGAGAAAGAGCCGCAAGTCCTGCGCGTGCAGCGCGTGAGGCAGCGTCTGCGCGCGACTGCTCGTCTCCTCGCGGAACGCGAACCTCTGGATCGCCGTCTCCATGACGACGAGGAGGCGCTCGACGCGCTGGGCGGACATGGACTGCACGTATTGTTGCGTCACGTGTTGTGCGATGAAAAGAACGCAAATCAAGGCGTCTTTCGTTTCGTCCAAAGACGACGCGTCGTGTCGTGTCGTCGACAACGACTGGTGGCGCGCGTGTCGTCTGTCGTCACTCATGTCGCCGACAGTCATGTGATCGACGAGAATGTCGAGCGCCGGCGTGTAGAGCGCGACCACTTCGGCGAGGTTCGCGTTGCGCGCGTCGAACGCGTGTTTCGCCAGAAGGTTGCGCAACAGTTGCACTGAAAGAGAGAGAGAGAGAGAGTTAGAGAGCGTGTGATTGGCGGAGTGACTGCGAACCCGATTGTTGTCTCACGTGACGCACGCTTTGGCTGAAGGCGTGTTTGAGTTCGCGGAAGAGCAGCGCGAGCGAGAGTGGCGACTGCTGGTTGATGGTCACGTGGTGTTCGTGCGCGAGAAAGAGCGCGAGAAACAGTTTGACGACAGTTCTGATGACGTCATCGTCGTGGGGTTGGCTGTGGAGCGCGAGACGCGACACTCGCAACGCAATGATCGCCGTTTCGACCGAAAGGTTCTGTTGGGAGAGAAAGAGACGCAAGTCCTGCGCGTGCAGCGCGTGCGGCAGCGTTTGCGCGCGAGTGCTCGTCTCCTCGCGGAACGCGAACCTCTGGATCGCCGTCTCCATGACGACGAGGAGGCGCTCGACGCGCTGGGCGGACATGGACTGCACGTATTGTTGGGTCACGTGTTGTGCGATGAAAAGAACGCAAATCAAGGCGTCTTTCGTTTCGTCCAAAGACGACGCGTCGTGTCGTGTCGTCGACAACGACTGGTGTCGCGCGTGTCGTCTGTCGTCACTCATGTCGCCGACAGTCATGTGATCGACGAGAATGTCGAGCGCCGGCGTGTAGAGCGCGACCACTTCGGCGAGGCTCGCGTTGCGCGCGTCGAACGCGTGTTTCGCCAAAAGGTTGCGCAAAAGTTGCACTGAAAGAGCAAAGAGAGAGAGAGAGTTAGAGAGCGTGTGATTGGCGGATGTGAATGCGAACCCGATTGTTGTCTCACGTGACGCACGCTTTGGCTGAAGGCGTGTTTGAGTTCGCGGAAGAGCAGCGCGAGCGAGAGTGGCGACTGCTGGTTGATGGTCACGTGGTGTTCGTGCGCGAGAACGATGGCCAGGAAGTGATGTCTGAGATCGCTTAAGAGGACGTCGCGCGAGAGAAGGGCTTTGAGGTGCGCGTCGACGCATTGAAAGACGCATTTCAGCGAATAGAAGGACAGAAGGCGCGCGAGGAACGCGGCCAGACTCTTGTTCGCCGCGAAACTCTCCTCCGAGCGCGAGAACTTGGTCACCAAATGGGTCACGTGACTCACGCATTGGCGCAACACGTGTTGTGATTGTTTGCGCGCGGATTCGTGTTTGCGTTGAATAAAGGCTTTGATTTGAATTCTGAACAAAAACCTGAAAAAAGCGGAAATTGGAAACAATGCGCGAGAAATGCAACAATTCTGACCACAAGTGACGTAACACCAGTTTCGACTCCTCCTCCTCTTTCACGCTCGCCAACAACTTCTCCAACGCTTCCAACAGCCGTTCGTCGAACGCGTCCATCACGTGATCGCAAGTGAACGTCTGCTCCACGAAGTCCACGATGACGTCAGAGCGGTGCTGCAGAGCGTCAACCAATCGGAGGAGAGTGAGCAGAGAGGCGCGCGTGACGTCATCGTCGGACGAATGCGCGACGAGTTCGAGGATTTGCTGCAAAATGATTGGCGAGAAGCGAATCAGTTCCGTGACGTCACACGAGAGCAGCGCTTTCAAGTGTTTCCTCGCGCTCTCCAAAGCGACCAATCGGACGGCAGAGGACTGGAGAGAGAACCAATCAGAATGCTTCACACAGATTCAAACTCACCTCTTCGCGGTTGATGCGCGCGAACGTCTCCAACGCCGCCTCGAGGCTCGGGTCACGTGACTGGAGCGAAGAGCAGAGTCTGAGCGCGACCTTGAAGGCGTCCTTGGCCACGAAGCGCGTGTCTGGCATCGACAGCCCTTTGCCCAATCCGAGCGCCTGACACGAGAGATAACCGGCGGGAAGAGAGCCGAACACAGAGAGCGCCACCTGCTGGCTGGTCACGTGGCCGCGCAGCGGGAGCCAGGCGTGACCCACGGGAGTGCGCGTGCATTCCTTCTTGCACGAGATGTGGAAGAAGTTGAACAATAGGTGAAGTTTCTCTTTCCTCGCGATCGGAAGCGAAACCAGAAACTCTTCGTTGAACTCTGGGTTCGCGTTGTGTCGCGCGACAGCCGTCGTCGCCGACGTCCCGAGCGTCGTCGCGTCGTCGCACAGCAGCGCCGCCAGAGGGCGCGCGTCGGCGGCGTCGGAATCCCTGAGTTGGAGCTCGCACTCGATGTTTCGCGCTTTCGGGAACACGCGCTGCGAGTCGTACTTCAGCGAAAGCGGGAACACGAAGAGCGCGTGCAGGAAGCGCGCGATGGGCTGCACGTCGGGCGCGAGGCTCTCCACGGCCGCGGCTGCGCAGTCCGCGTCGTCCACCTCCAGCACGAGCTGCGCCCCAATTGTTGTGCGCATCAACGAGTGGTTGTTTAAACACGATTGGATGTATTCGTCGGATATGCGGTTCGCGTCCAATCGGAACAGAGGGGTGGAGAGGGGGCCGCGCAGCAGTTGGGAGTCGGCGCCGTAGAGCGGGCGCGCGCTCCATCCCAGCGGCTCCCGGTGCTGCTGTTTGTGACACGAGCTCTTCTCGACGCGCGTCACGAGATACAAGTCGTTTCTATTGCCGTCGTCCACTTGGAGGCGGAAGCGCG